CAAGTCGCGAAKCGGCAAGGCTTTTCCGCTAATCGGTTTGGCGTAAAAACAAACCGATAAATGGAAATGTCTTGTCGCTTTGCGACTTGATAACATAGTAGCAAAAGAATAAAAGACAAGCCTCTGGAACCAGCGTAACGTACGACCGGTTCGCACTAGGCAAAAGTTTTTGTTCTAATAAGGACCCTGTTCCCATTCTTCAGAGGTCTAAAGTTATCTATAAATTAACCTGCCCTGGTTGTTCTGAATTCTATATCGGTAAAACTGATAGATCACTCAGTTTTCGGTTGAAAGAGCACGCATATCGAGCTGATCAACCTATGCATAAACATCTTAGTAACTGCTCTCTTTTCAATGATTTAGTAAGTCTCAATGGAGTAACAAATTGTTTTGATTTCCCCACCGTTGTGGACTTTAAGCAACATATTTTTAATGCTGTTTACAACAACGTGGAAATTGTTGACTCTAGTAATAACTGGTCACAATTGTTATCACTTGAGGCATACTATATTAAAAATACCAAAGCTACTATAAACGAGGGACTTAAAGCCTCCCGGGAATTAGAATTGTTCTAGCTCGTGTATATAAGCTCCATGACCACTTGTAACTTTTAGCATGATTATGATTTTGCAATAAAATCGAAATATAGCTGTCATTACGATCTTCTGTACATAATTCAAAAGTATGCTTTCCATCCTTGGATTATCACTCGTCTTACTAAAAGTTTGTTTGTTTTACCAAAAAAACTGTCAACGGTAACAGGAAACAAGTGCGAATGCGTTTGTTCGGCCGGGACAAAATTTGTCCTGGCCGAACAATCTTCAATGTCGCCGCTAGGCTGCTCTGGAGCCCTCCAAAGCTAGGCCAAACGTCAAAACGGACAGATTTGTCAATTAGCACCTAGGGTTGTTAAGACGATAGTTTATAAATTTACGATCTAAAGGGATCTAAAAGGCTCGTAAATGTAAAATACATAACCAAAAACCTCTTAATTATTGAAATGGCACGATTTTTGAGCAAGATACCGAAAGTTATAGCCAAAGTGAGAAATACGAGAGGTTATTTGATTGACGTTTGTGGTTGTAGCCGGTGTACGGGCCGCTGTAGTGCGAATGTGATTTACAAACAGAGAATTTTTTTTTTATTATGACTGTACAAAAAACACGGCATCTTCGACTATTTTACAAGCACATTGTTTTTTACCGATTTCAGAAGCTCAAACGCAAAGAGGGTCGCAGAGAACGGTCCAACAAGAACAAGCCCAAGGAAATCGCCTCGCAAGAATTGAAATTGTCATAAAACTGTTATGACTTTTAATTTCCTGTCGATTTTCCATCGTTCGAATTAAACTGGAACTTTTATTGGCTTCAGGAGAAAATGCACATATAGTAGTAATTCGGTAAAAGAGGGTTTGTTTTGTACATTGATTCCGCGATC